TTCCCAAGGGGGTTTCTGTGATCCAACCCGTCACACTTCCATTAAAAAATGACTTGACATTCCTGATATCTTTAAATAGGAGGAAATAAAAATTAAAAACAGCAGAGCTTCTTACATCAAGAAAGAAAGAAAATAGGCACACAAAACCTCCCCCCACCACCACCTTTGCCAGGTCACCTTTAAAGGAAAACGGCAGTGTACAAAAATGTGATCTGTTACTAGTTATGAAGAACAATAAATCACTACGCATTTTAAGTATGTACAATAGAACCAAAAGTATCTCAAAGTATCAAAGAGGAAGCTGCCATTTTGCCATGCTCATGAGGTGTGCACAGCTTTGTCCAACTCTATGAGATTTACAAATCTAGCCAATCTTGAAGAATGTATACACTGCACTGGGATTTACTAACATAACGATGTACAAGAAATTCCAGTTTGCATTATATATGGTATTAATTGGCATAACTTACAATGATATGTAGAGAGACTATAGTTGAAGGCATGAGCACAACAATGGAGGAAAGTTAAGGTTGAGCTTTCAACCCTCTCTTTGAATTTCCTTAATTCTGAGTGCTTGATTTCCCAACATGAATGTTTCTCAGCCTGCAGAGCATGCTGTAAGGCCCACTCTTTCTTTATCCCTGGCCTGTGAGAAGTGGGTGTCGGATAGTGGGGATGTGGGACTCTGCAGCATTTTGGGCATGGCGGTCAATTAGTGTAGGGTGTTGCTGGGTCATTTGATTAAAAGTAACTGCCTTGCCTATTATTTATTAGAGCATTTTTAAAAGATATTCAAGGATGCCCAGTTTATTTGCTCTATTATCACAACTTGCAAAAATCCAAACAACATACTTTTTATTTTAAAAAAGTTAGAAATTATTACATTGTTTGGGGCAGAACCCATCTTTTTGTTCTATGTACAGTGCCTAGCACAATGGGGTCCTGGTCCATGACTCAGGGCCCTAGGCACTATAATAATAATAGTCATGTTTTTAAAGGGACAAATCTCACAAACACCTGTTTGCTACGTCTGGCCTCATTGTGATGTCTTGGCTACTATTAGTCATTTGCTCCCATACAAATGACCATCTCAATTTAAAGAAACCAATTCTAAACAACCAAACATATACACCTCAATAGGAAGATTCCATGCGAAATAAACCATGTATTTATAGTCGTCCATCCACACTTCGGCCACCCTCAGGGCGTTGCGTCTCATAGCAATGCTCAAGTCCAGCATGTAGGGTTTGTGTGCTCTTTCCAGGTGAGCAACTCTTGCACAGGGCAAAACTTCTATCTGACCCCCACACTGCCAAACCTGTATGGATGAAGCAGGAGTCCCAGTGAATGCGCATTGGAGTTGGCTTTTTTCACCAGCAGTTAACACGATTTTGTTCTACATAAGTGACTAAAAATTGCACCTCCTTACTCAACAGATCTGCTCACTCTCAGTATCCAGAGTAAGTTCTCCTGACTTTAGTGATGAAGGGAAATTTTCAGTACTTTTTTTTTAGGATCTGCAGAGCCAACACAGGTACAGGAGAGTGAGGTGGAAGCTATTTAGTCTTTTGCATCATTATTAATTTCCAGTTACAGGACTAAGCAGTTACTCTCGTGTAAATCCTTTGCATGAGGTTATACAGGTGTCACAAAGAGCAGAACTGGCCCTACAGAATCTTAATTATGATTAAGGTTGCAGGAGTAGGAAAGAGACCAGTCTGACTTTCATATCCCAGGCTGTTTACAGGGCTGGCACCTAGAAACCCCCTCTCCCCCATCAATCTGCTTACAAACTGAGCGCATTTGATACAAGAAATCATTGAGGGACAATGCAAAATGAGACCTACAATGTTATTTTTGAAGTCACTTCTCTGAGCAGAAATGTATTTAATGGGCCTGATTCTCCATTCCCCTGCATTTTGTGCAGTCAGATATACCAGCACAGAGAAGAGGTATCATGGTACCATTCTGATATGGTGATGCTTTACACCCACCTTGCACTGGTGTAAATGAATATACATGTATCAGGGCAATGAAGAATGAGGCCTCTGTGTATTTTAATGTATTAGAAGTGGAAAGGAGTTCATCCCCTGTCAATCCCACCTTTTCCCTAGGTGGATCTTGAGTACTCTGAATCTACCATATTTATTCCTCCCACACTTCACGCATGAGTCCTTGAGATGCAGTCACCACCCTTCTAGCCACAGAAAACTACCTAGGATTCTCTTCACAGGATATCAATGCTGTCACTTCAGTCACTGCAGTAGTTGCTGTTGAATAAGACAAAATACATTCTGCCTATCAATTAGATACTGAATGGCCCCTATTGCTGTAGTAATGGTGGGCACCTCACAATCTCTAATGTATATATCCTCACCAGGCCCGCTGACAGCTATACCAGGCCCCAGGGCAGAACAGTCAATGGGCCCCCAGGCATGCACAAGTTGTGTCTGCGCAGACATGGTCTGCTTGACATTTAGCTGGTGCTCTTCCAGCACGGCCAGGGCTTCCACATGCCCGCCTGGTAGGCTTGCCAACTGTCTAATTGCACAAACCCAAAATTGCTTGCCCTGTCCCCCAGCCCACCCCTTCCCTGAGACCACACCCCTGCCCTGCCCCTTTTCCAAGGCCCTGACCCTGCTTGCTCCATCCCCCCTCCCTCTGTCACTCACTCCCCGCAACCCTCACTCACTTTCACCAGGATGGGGCAAGGGGTTGGGGTATAGGAGGGGGTGCAGGGGTCAGACTCTGGGAGGGAGTTTGGGTGCAGGGGGGGTGAGGGGTCAGGCTCTGGGAGGGGGTTTGGGTGCAGGGGGGTGAGGGTCAGACTCTGGAAGGGAGTTTGGGTGCAGGAGGGGGTGCGGGGTCAGGCTCTGGGAGGGAGTTTGGGTGCTGGCTGTAGGCTGGGGCAGGGGGTTGGGGTGCAGGAGCGGGTCAGCACTTACCTTGGGTGGCTACCGAAAGCAACTGGCACACCCCTCTGGCTGCAGTTCTCAGTCAATGGGAGCTGCAGAGTGAGCGCTCGGATGGGATTAGCGCACAGAGACCTCCTCCCCAGGGGCCGCTAGGACATGACGGCCGCTTCCGGGAGCAGCGCGGAGTGAGGGCGGGTAGGAAGCCTGCCTTAGCCCCACTGTGTTGCTGGCAGTGGCAGCAGCCAGGGGGCCCTGGGCCCTTTTAAATCACCCGGGCCCCTGGGCAATTGCCACCTTTGCCTCCCCCTCAACCCTGTCAGAGGGCCTGATCCTCACAAAATCTCTGAAAGGCAAGGCATTGCAGGTATCCCTAGTTTACAGATGGGGAACTGAGTCAAAGAGAGGCTAAGGGACTTGCCCAAGGTCACACAGGAAGTCTGCGGCAGAGCAGGGAATTAACCTGAGGTCTCCCAAATCCCAGGCTAGCAAACTAATGACTGGACCATCCTTCTTCTAGTTTAATCACTATATGCAACATGTTCCCACTGCTGCGGCTAAACCTTAATTAGCCATCATCAAATGGTTTACAAATCCATTATCAGTATTTATCTGAGAAGAGGAGACACCAAATATGAGGAAAGGGACAATTTTCTTTGGAGGCTCGCAGCTTGAAAGGAAATAAATGTGTCTGAAATTCTATCAGTGGAAAACCTACATGCTGCAGCAGGTAGTGCTGGTGATTTAAGACTCAGCTGTTTTCCCTTTAAATCAGTACTGAGGCAACATGGCTGCGGCAAGGCGTTAGTGAGCACTGTGCAGCTGTAAGTGCTGAATTTTAAATGAAAGGTAAAACCAAGAGCCTGACCTCTGTGTCTTCAAAGATCCCCCTGGCACTTTGGGTTGAGGTGGTAGCCCCAGGGTCCTGGCTAAATTCCTATCTGAGTAATTACCTTCTGCCTTTCTAAATCCTCCCCGCCCCCAGCAGTGTAAAGTTTATATGGGATTCCAGCTGCTATCTCACGCTCAGGAACTGGGTCCAGAGCAGGGTCATTTCCTCCTTTGGTTTCATCTCATGTACTACATCATGTTACCTGAAGAGAGGCTTCTGAGATTTACTGATGAACATGGGCGGGGGGTCCCCTTCTGGGGTGTTGCCTTTCTAATGCCTTGGCCCCTTCTTACAGCACTTCCTATGTTGAATCAGACTGGTGTCCTGCTGGGTCAATATATAATGCTCCTGAGGAGTACACTGCAAGACCTTGTACCCCATAGTATCACTCTCCAATTGGTTATTTCACAAAATGGATTTCCCTCCTGCCTCCAGCTTGTAAACTTAATGAAGTTTACATTTGTTAGCTTAGCTTGTATATTTATCTATGTTATCAATGGACATAAAACTATACAATCTTAGCAATGTCCTTTATTGCTGTGGCAGGGAAGACAACAGGCTGAGTACACTTTGTGTGAAATTCTTCCCTTCCTGGTTCCCACCATTTACTGAGCTGTGCCCATTGTCATGGGCATACATGTCTCAGTATCCTTGTAGAGTCTGCCAGTGCTATTACCGTGCTTTGTCGACAATAAACCTGGCCTGGTGCTTTCACACCTTAACAGATCTTGTGGTCATTTGGCGGTGCGTTCCAGGTCTGCTGTGCCAGCTGTCTGTGCAGAGCTGGGACAGCACACAGGAAAAACACACACAGGCAGCCAAATATCTAACCACAATAGCTGCTAGGTGCTCAGCATTTTTGAAAATCTGCCCATTTCATTTCAGTACTGAAATGGGAGCTGAACTCTTTTGAAAAACTGAGCCCAATTGTCTGTGTTGAGCACTTAGAAATCTGGCCCTGAGTTCTTTTGAAAATCAGGTCCCCACACTTATGTTATTTATTTTATAAGAGAAGCAGAATTAAACGTACCCGCAGGCCAAGTTCCACATTTTCCCCTCCGTATATATGCATTCCGCCATCCAGTACCCCAATCTCACCCAGAAAAACTCTATGTGCAGCAAGTATCCCCATAATAGAAGGACTCCTGGGAAAGAGAATAGATACAGTTGGAGAGAAGAAATAACTATGAAATAAACAGGAAGAGGAATAAACAATCATTTGAGAATTAATTATGCTCTTTTGAATTTCCTGTTCAGTGCGAGACTGAGTATTGGGCTCATTGGGACAATTCTTATTTTGTTTGTGCTAGTTTGGGGGTCCCTAATAAATTGCTCTTTAGCTAGATTTGGTTTCTTCCCATCCCATTTCTACCACCAGCCTGTATTTACAGTGGACATTTCCATAACTGCACTTAGTGCCAAATTCTGCCCATCCTTATCTATCTAGGTATTTACCCATTACCAGTGTCTGAGTGTGTAATTAATTTATTCAGGGTGGAGTTATGTTAGCAGCATGCAAATACAGGATACATGAATCCTTTCTGTTGAATATGGACGTTAAATGCCTCATAATAGTTTGTTTATTTTGCATACCTTGTACATAATGACTTTCATCTCCAAAATGCACTACTTTAACAAGGGAATGTTCACACCACCATATGTGAAGTAGGTAGGGTTGCCAGGTGTCCGGTTTTTGACCGGAATGCCCGGTTGAAAAGGGACCCTGGCGGCTCTGGTCAGCACTGCCAATCAGGCTGTTAAAAGTCTGGTCAGTGGTGCTGAGGGGCTAAGGCAGGTTAATCCCTATCTGTCCTAGCACCGTGCTGCGCCCCGGAAGTGGCCAGCAGGTCCGGCCCCTAAGCAGGGGGGCCACGGGGCTCCGTGCACTGTCCCCACCCTAAGCACTGGCTCCTCACTCCCATTGGCCGGGAACCATGGACAATGGGAGCTGGGGGAGGCGGTGCCTGTGGGTGAGAGCAGTGCGCTGAGCCTCCTGCCCCTCCCCTCCCCCACCGGGTGCAGCATGGTGCCAGGACAGGTAGGGAGCCTGTCTTAGACCCACAGCGCCACTGACTGGGAGTTGCGCCCCAACCCTAAGCCCCAACCCGCTGCCCCAGCCCAGACGCCCCCCCCAACCCAGAGCCCCTTCCTGCACCCCAAACCCCTCATCCCTGGCCCCACCCCAAAGCCCGCACCCCCAGCTGGAGCCCTCACCCACTCTTGCACCTCAACTCCCCGCCCCATCTTGGAGACCCCTCCCACACCTTGAACCCCTCATTTCTGGCCCCACCCCAGAGCCCATGCCCCCAGTTAAAGCCCTCACCCCCTCCTGCACCCCAACCCCCTGTCTCAGCTCAGTGAAAGTGAGTGAGGGTGGGGGAGAGAAGTCACTGAGGGAGGGGGAATGTAGTAAGTGGGAGGGTGGGGCCTTGGGGAAGGGGCGGGACTAGGGTGTTCGGTTTTGTGCGGTGAGAACAGGGGTTCTCAAACTGGGGGTCGGGACCCCTCAGGGGGTTGCAAGGCTATTACATGGGGGGTCACGAACTGTCAGCCTCTACCCCACACCCCGCTTTGCTTCAGCATTTATAATGGTGTTAAATATATTAAAAAGTGTTTTTAATGTATAAGGGGGGGTCACACTCAGAGGCTTGCTATGTGAAAGGGGTCAGCAGTATAAAAGTATGGGAACCACTGGGTTAGAAAGTTGGCAACCCTAGAGGTAGGTGTGAAGGACTTGGAAGATGCCTGTCATATCTCATGAATGATCTATATCCTTGTTATGATATTGTTTGCTACATGGTTATAAGGGGCTAGATCCCAGGAAAGGCCCAGATAAAAGTTCCTCAGCAAACACCAAGAGCTATTAACTATGATGTTACCTCAGAGCAACCCAGTAAGTTAAATTTGGTCAAAACAGTTTATATATGAGAGATACAGGGACTGTGGAGAAGCAGACTGAACCCCAGCCCCAGAAGTGGGGGTGTTTGGGTAAGCCAGGCCTATCTAAGTTGTAGGTAAGACAGTTATGCATGTAGACTGTTGTGTCAAAATCCTTTTCTTGTTACGCTGTGTTACTGCTGTTAAGATTAAACAATTTTTTTTGTGTTGAAAAGGCTGTTTCACATCGCTCTAGTGATATACTGGTCACAGCTTCCCAAGGGAAGAATTGCAGGCCTTGAACCCAGTCGGGCCTGCTGAGGAGTCAGTGGGTCTGCAGAGGCCTGTAATCTGGTACTCCTGTCAGAGTGGGGAAATTGTGAGATTCCACCACAAGGAGGTAAAGAAAAGGCACAGGGCCTGTCACTTGGAGAGGTTGCGCTCAGGCAGACATAGGGTATGTCTACACTGCAATTAAAAACCCATGGCTGGCCTGTGCTGGCTGGCCCATGCCAGCTGATCTAGGCTAAGGGGCTTGGGCGCAGGGGCTGTTTAATTGTGGTGTAGATGTTCAGGTTTGGGCTGGACCATGGGCTCTAGGACCCGGCAAAGTGGGAGGGTACTAGAGCTCAGGCTGCCACCCAAGCCGTAATGTCTACACCACAACTAAACAGCCCCTTAGCCTAAGCCCCATAATCCCAAACCAGCTGGAATGGGCCAGTCATGGGTGTCTGACTGCAGTGCAGAAATACCCCTAGAGAAGGGTCAGAGGTACAGCTAAATGTCAACTGTGACAGTAGGTAAGTATTATTATCCATTTATAGATGGGAAGCTTGGACAGACAGATTAAATGATTTGCCCAAGATTGCAGAGGGAGAAATATTTAGGACCAGACTTAGAATGCAGGAGAGCCTGGATCCGTCTTTTACACAGACCACATGGGACAACATGAGATCTCTAATGACTCTCAGATCCAAACTGACAATTTCAACTCACCTGCATTTTGCAGATATCTTACCCACCCATGTGAGAAAACCCTATCCTTGTTAGTTTTAGAGGTGAGTCTGAAAACATCTCAGATGTCTGGGGTCTTTGTTCCCTCAAGAATACTATTCTGACTTACCGGATTGGAGCCGTTTCATCTTTGAGCGCATACCATTCTTTTGGTAATGGTTCATAGAGGCACCATAGTGCCCAGTCAAATCCATCTGCAGACACAGCATATTCAAGAAGTTCAAAGTCATCAAAGTGAACATTGTCAAATACTGGTGATATTATAACAGTACGATCTTCCTTGATTCGAGACAGAATAGGTTCAGCCCTAAGATAATGAACAAAAACATTATTTTCACCTTGCAGCAAGTATGGACCTGATGAACCAAAGTGCATGGCACCGTAATGCTGAAATGGGCAGCCCATTTCTTAGAATTGAGACCAAAGAGATGACTGAACCCTTGGCTCCTGTCTCAGCTCTACCAAATAATGACAGGTTGTGACGCATGGCCAGAAAGGGTTAAACATGCTGCAAATTAAACAACCCTCAAAAGACATGTGGGGAGATAATGTTTGTGTTTTTGTGTATTTACATATGTATGAGTAGGGTCAACAATGTAATCAACAGTCCCTGTCTATGTTGTATTCTGTTAATTCAGAAGATCAAAATAACATCCTGACATTTAAATGAATTGTAAACACGGGATAGCTCTGTATTCATCTCTCTTTGAAATGCACTGTGAATGGTGGAGGAACAAGTAAATTGCCTTATGTTAATTCATATAGCTAAGTACTGGTGAGGGACCTCCTTCAAAGTCATCCTAATTACTTTTTGTTCCCAGAGGAACTCCAATTTGTCAAAAAGGACATGAAATTGTATAAAAGATCCTTGGGTTCTGATCCTGTTCATCTCGGATCTGCTTAAGGCTTCATACAGGGGAAACTTAGGCCATAAGGACTGAGATTCCAGTTCTAACGGGATCGCTCTGAAATATAAACATTGGACTATAACGGGGTCGGCAACCTCTGGCACGCGGCTCGCCAGGGTAAGCACCCTGGCGGACGGGCCAGTTTATTTACTTGCTGACGCGGCAGGTTCGGCCGATTGCGGCCCCCACTGGCCGCGGTTTGCCGTCCCAGGCCAATGGGGGCGGCGGGAAGCGGCACGGGCGAGGGATGTGCTGGCCACGGCTTCCCGCCGCCCCTATTGGCCTGAGACAGCGAACCACGGCCAGTGGGGGCCGCGATCGGCCGAACCTGCTGAGTCAGCAAGTAAATAAACTGGCCCGGCCCGCCAGGGTGCTTACCCTGGCGAGCCACGTGCCAGAGGTTGCCGACCCCTGGACTATAACCTACGGACTATTTCTGAAAGAACTCTTTGCAACTACAAAGCTCACCATCTCTGCTATGAATTAAAATCTTAAGAACTGAACTCATGTCTGTGTGTATATTGATCTTTTAACCATACTCTCTCTCTCTTGTTTTTTAATACATTTTAGTATAGTTAATAAGAATTGGCTGTATGCAATGTATTTGGGTAAGTTCTGAAACATTCATTAACCCGGGAGGTAATGTGTCCCATCCTTTGGGATTGGTAGAACCCTTTCTTTTATATGATGAGATAAGATTTTCAGAAATCATATTTAACGTAGGTACCGGGGTGGAAGTTTGAGGCTGGATCGCTTTAAGGAAACTGTGTTGTTTGAACTTCTGAGTAACCACTAAGGTATAAAGGAAGCTGTTTTATGCTGGCTTGGTAAATATAAGTACTGGAATGTTCACCAGCTTTTTGGGGATTGTCTGCCCCATTCTTTGCAGTTCACCCTAATTGAGTGACCACAGCTGGCCCCCACTGGGACCCCAGTCACACAGGTTTTCTGTACTACTAATCCATCTTTCTCTCTAGTAGCCTTACGCTTTCTCCCAGGCCATCCCAGCAGTTCATGCACCGTAACCATTGCTAATTACACTAGCCATAGTCACCTCTCTGTTACCTTACCTGTCTGTTATACCCCTATGTTGCCTCTCACCATAGATTTATATTGTAAACTGTTGGGGGCAGGGGCCTTCTTTTCATTGTGTATGCACAGCACCTATCACACTGGGGCTCTGATCCCTGACTGGGGCCTCTAGGTGCTATTGCAATAAAAATAACAACAACAAATGGGAGGAGTCCCTGGTTGTGCTATCTGTGATGAATAAGGCCATCATAGCCCGGGGTAGGGTGAGATTAGAGATGCAACACAGTCTCAGAGGTAAAACGCTGTCTGCTAGGGAAGTGAAACAATGTGAGGAGTGGTCAAGCACTGAACCCAACCAACCAGGATAGACGTATGTTAGAGAGATATGGTACAGAAAGGGAGGGTAAATACACTGATCTAAACTGTAACAACAAGGAGTCTGGTGGCACCTTAAAGACTAACAGATTTATTTGGGCATAAGCTTTCGTGAGTAAAAACCTCACTTCTTCGGATGCATAGAGTGAAAGTTACAGATGCAGGCATTATATACTGACACATGGAGAGCAGGGAGTTACTTCACAAGTGGAGAACCAGTGTTGACAGTGCCAATTCAATCAGGGTGGATGTAGTCCACTCCCAGTAATAGATGAGGAGGTGTCAATTCCAGGAGAGGAAAAGCTGCTTCTGTAATGCCCCAGCCACTCCCAGTCCCTATTCAAGCCCAGATTAATGGTGTTGAATTTGCAAATGATTTGCAAATCA